AGAGAGAGAGAGAGAGAGAGAGAGAGAGAGAGAGAGAGAGAGAGAGAGAGAGAGAAATAGATGGAGAGAGCGAGCGAGAGAGAGAGAAAGAGAGAGCACGAGAGAGCGAGCGAGAGAGATAGAGATAGGGAGGGAGAGGGTGCGTTGTTTTGTATGTACATTCCAAATTCTGTTCTGGTGATATGCCCCGTAACGGCTTCGACACGAGGACCACTCTATCGAAGGAGATACGAAAAAACAAGGTGAGCCCGGGTCTCCTTGATCATAATGCCAATCAGTTTGAAAAACAAGACATCGCCATTCGCTTGTAGCTAGTACTCTCAACGAAGAGATGGTTTTGGCAACGACAATCGAGAAAATTTGAGGCACAAAATACCACAAAGCCTGGCAGAAACGCTCGACAACGAGCGATCGGCACACACTGCCGAGTCAATCCGAAGATGACCACCTTCACAAACAAGAAGGCTATGCTACCAGTTTGACAAGCTCTCGTGTGAGTAAGGCTGTAGCACCACCGAGACTTGTCGGCACGAGATTCTCGTCGAGAAACTCGCCTTCGAAACGTGGTGGAGGGCGAGCATCTCCTGCACCCCGTAGTCGCTCGCGAGTCCCTTCAGCAGCCACCTCAGCTTCTTCTTGGCGTGGATGTTCTTCCACGCAGACCCCTGCTGCTGAGAGAACGAATCCCCGCTACCCTCGTCTCCTCCCCCTTCCCCCGATGCGGCCGCTGCTTGCTTCCCTCGCCCGCCCCGACCCAGAGAGTCCCCTCCCCTTCTATCCCCGGTAGCGTGCCCCCCTCTACGGTTTCTCCTCCCGCGGCGCAATTCTTCTGCGCTCCTCGACCGCGGAGTCCCCTCGCCACTCGCTGGCTTGGCCCCGTCACCGCTCATGCCGGTGGTCGGTCCTACCGCTGCTGAAACGGGCACCTCGTTCAGCTCCCCGGTTTCCGACTCAGCAGCGGGTGCTATTCCTCCTCCGCCTCTAGCCGCTGCGGGGGGTTCGTGTTGTAGCTCGTTGGCGGTGCCTTCGACGGCGCGCGCCGCCCCTCTTCTGTCACGCCCCCGCGAACGCCTGCGCCGAGGTTTCCCGGAAATTTCCTCGCGCTGCGGCGGCTCCGTCCCGAACTTTCTCTCCAGCTCCGCGTTCAGCGCCGCCTCTCTTCTACTGTCCAGGTCCGTGATGACTGCATCCTCGCTACTGATGCAGCTGCTGGTTTCCTGGCGCGTTGTT